TTTGGAATAGGTTGTACTGCGGCAGACTTCCATGATGATGGATATACTCCTTGCCTGTAAGACAAATTGAATAATTAAGCGAAAGTTGGGGTGAGTTCGTTGGCGCAATTTTTGAGTACTATTGCGGGAATGCCATCCGGACCCATTGCTTTGTTTGTATCCAGCTTTTTTAGGGATTTTCGTATTTCTCTGTGACAAAAGTGTACCTCTGGCATACTATGGGAAACCCTTTCAATGAACGGTGGAGTTTTTCCGTTTGGCACTGTTAGGTTGGAGTTGGAGGAAAACATTTGGGCAAGCATATTGGCTTTTTCCTCTGATGTTGTGGCTAAGTGATTATTTTTATCTGTAAGTGGTGGTATGGATGACTTGGTGAAGTTAGATCCAACAGCTTTTGCAAGAGACTACTTGTGTTATTTCATTACAGCAAATAGTGGGATCAGCTGTTTTAAAGCAAACCTCTTGCCATGGAAAATCCAGGTAATACTGTTTTAGGTCATTCCATTTTGCCGATTTATAGTGCCACATTTTACGAGGAAGTGGTTGTAGGCTTGGTGGGATGAGCATTTCGCACTTTGTTATTATAAGTTTATGATCGGACGAACCAAGTAGAGCATCTACTTGAATTGTGTACGAGTCAGGATTGGTGGTTAGGAACAAGTCTAAAAGCGCTGCAAATTCGCCCCTTTCTGAGATACGGGTAGGTTCATCGACAAGCTGCGTTAGACCACAACTTATGGCAAAAGCTTCTGCTTCTCTGCCTTCGTTATCTGTTTTGTTGTGGTGTTTCAGCCAGGGTATATTATGGACGTTGAAATCGCCTAAAAAGACAATTTCCGCCTGTGGATAGTTTGACTGTATACTATCACAGCTTTCGGATAATGTCGCGAAAAAGTTTTGGTAATCGGTGTTACTTGGCGGTCGGTAGAGGCAGCAGATAAACTTGGTCGATGACTTTGAGGTGAATTTTAGCCATATGATATCAAGGTTCGCTGGTTCTAGCTTCTCCTCTCGATGACATGAAACATGAAAGGTCATTTTTAATGTACACACAGATCCCAAAATTATGTCGAAATCGGTGGTGTAGGTCATAGCCGGGATAAAAATAGTTCACAATAGGTGTTGCAGAACTGATTTTAGTTTCAGTGAGAACAAGGATGTCAGGTCTTTGTTCTTCAAGATGTTGGTGAACTGAATTCATATTTGTACTTATTCCTCTTATATTGCTAAAATCAATTCTGAGTTGAGTTTTTGATCTTTTTTTTTTTTGTGTGACAAAGCCGAGCTTTTCCACTAAGCCAGGCTTTATGAACTACGGAGAATAGGGCCCTATGTAGTTTTAGGGCCGCTTTTACAGGTAGAGCTTAAACTCCAATCTTAAGTTTAAACTACAATTTTATAAAATTTACACTTTTACAACTTGGGTTAATCGTCAATCCTAAGTTTAAACTTTACCGCTGGTTGGGGGTTGGTTTAAACTACAATCCTAAGATTATAACCCTATTTTTGGGAAACAAATCAATCTCATATTTACTGCGATGTGTTCCTTGTTGGAAAAACCCGGAATCTTTAGAAGAATATGACACTATTTTACAAAACTGTCTTCAGGATATTACGAATTGTCCGATCAGTTCAAACTCTTGAAGCCAAAGTACACTTTCCGTAAAATTGGGCGGCCTCGGAATAAGGGATGCCAGTACATTATCAATATCTGCTTTTTTGGGCTCCATTAATGATTCATCTAAACTACTTAATAGTATTCTGCCTAAAAATATTTCAAATTCCTGTTATTTAGACCTTGATTTATGCACTGAAAAATGGCTTTCGCTTTCAAATTTAAATTGCGTTCCTAAAGAATTTAAAAAATTACAAAAAGATTTTGATTTTTCAATGTGTCAATTTCGCAAAACAACAACTTTGGTCTAAATGTCAAACAAATGAAGACCGGTCGCGTCTCCTAGCTCTTCAAGCTCCTGAATCCAGTGCATGGCTCAATGCTCTTCCGTCCGCTTCCTTGGGAAACCAGCTTGATAATACATGTTTCCGAATATCAATTGCAATTAGACTTGGTTTACCTGTGGCTGTAGAGCACCCCTGCATTTGCGGCGAAACACTAGATATGTATGGCTCGCATGGGCTTAGCTGCAAAAAGAGTGCACGTCGTGCTTCCAGGCATAGTCAAATCAATGACATAATTAAGCGTGCTTTGATTTCTGCTAAACAGCCAGAAGTTTTAGAGCCGCTCGGCATTTGTAGAAATGACGGCAAGAGAGCGGATGGAATGACTTTCATCCCATGGAAACAGGGAAAGCAACTGATTTGGGATGCAACATGTAGCCATACCTTGGCAAAATCCTGTCTAGACAGAACATCGAAAGCACTTGGGTCAGCTGCTATACTTGCTGAATCTAAAAAGCATATCAAATATAAAGAGCTGGAGGATCGCTTTGTTTTTGTTCCCATCGTCATAGAGACATTGGGTCCTTGGGGCGATGAGGCTAAGAGGTTGGTCCAAGAGATTGCTTCCAAGATCCCTTGTCAACGGTCTCTTAGCTTCATCACTCAGAGGATCAGCTTAGCTGTGCAGCGTGGCAACGCAGCCTCTGTAATGGGTACCATCGAAGACTATGGACAGGAAGAGATTTTCGAAGTTTGATACTTCTTTTTTTTTTTTTTTTCATTTTACTTATTTTATTTTATATAGTTATACATTGTATTTAATATATAATTATTTCGAGAAAAAAAAAATCAATGAATAAAATATAATAATAAATCTTTCGAGTTGTTGAAACGAAACCACAATGGAAGAAGATATAGACTTTGTTTTTGGTGATTTTCTGAGAAGCTTGAGCCTTTTCCTTCCAACTGATTGCATCAGTTTTTTTGTTTTCCAGAGAATCCTTGTTGATTTTGACCAACTCCTTTCTTCTTTATAATGTGGCATTAGCAATTATTCCAATTTTCCCGAACTTTACTAGCTTTTTTCGCGTTCGAAAAAAGGACGGTTCTAGAACGGTTCAAAACAATCGCACAGTTTGTGATAGCTGAGCCGTTGTCATTTTGTTGATTGATGAACTGTGCGATTGTTTTGAACCGTTCTAGAAACGTCCTTTTTTTGAACCCGAAAATAGCTACTGATAGATGTGAAAGATGGTATTTTATTTTAAACATTGGTTTAAACTTTTGGTTAAACCGCAGTTCAATCTGAAGTTTAAACTCTACTGGTAAAATCGACCCTTAGTAGAATTTGCAACCGAAACATTAAAGGAAAAAAATCTACCTACAAAAATCGATAGTGATAACAAAAATGATTATGAATTACCATTTTTAAGGAAAAGTGATAAAAAGGAGGGTTTTTTTTCCCCAAATGTCCAGATTTTAGAGATATTGCCACTGTTGCTAAAAGAGATATTAAAATGATTTTGCCAAAACCAGTGAATTACGGAAAGACTAAAATCGATACTACCATGGCTTTGAAACTTTGTCTGGGTCATTTATAGAAGTTTGTTTCAGTTTATTCAAGTAATTATTTCTCATTCGATATAGTGTCTCATTGAACCCCCTGCATGGGTATCAATGAGACAAATGTCATGATAACTGTTTATGTCAAATATTGCCTTTGTAAGTGACTATAAAATCAAAAACATAATAAATTTCTAACTTAGATTTATTCTTAAGTGTGAAAAAAAAATCTATATTTTGAAGGTTTATGGTAAAATAATTTCATTAGAAAAAAAAGTGTCTCAGTGTTACCCAGTTTCTCCTACAGTATGTATATGTACATTTTTGCTTCGAGGATACTCGCTAACTTCGACCCTACTACTGGTTACGGTTGGCAACCTACATTTCTGACAATAGAACTGTACACTACTTCTTACCATCTTTACTATATAAATTAGCTTCCAAAGAAGTGGAAATTAAAGTACCTATACCCGACAAATCTTCAATTAAAAATGAAATTCCAACATGTAAATGCGATGCTGATTCAATTCAAGAGAATAATTACGATTTTTTTCCATTTTGGTTTAGTGTAGGTATTGTTTCTGTAAACATTTTATCAATTTTTAGTATTTAATTAAAATCTAATACTGTCCTGTTCAATGAGCAGCGTGTAGCGTGTTACAGCGTTTACCGCTTTGTTAATGCATATAGCCACTTTTACGTCTGGATCAAGTAGGTAATGTCTGCCCAGCGACTCTGTGTCTACGGGGCAACGGTAAGTGGAATGCAGTTGTAAAAAAAAAATGGCTGATTTCATTCATAAAATACCCAGCTGCGTGCGGAACTTTTGGAAGTGTTATCGTATTGCAACTCGTACACGAAAATCGACAATGACCAAACCCCCGCCACTGGATATTTCAATATAAATCGATATTCCAAGATGAGAGGATAAAATGACGGAAGCCCTGGCCAATAGCGAGACGTAAGGTGACATTAGCTCATTGACAACCGCATGGTTGCCCGTGGCAACGGCCATCCTGCCAAAAACTCCACCAATTAGGTTCATCCAGGCCGGATGTTTGCCAAATTGTCAAAAGCTAATGGTATCTTTAGAAAATGTTTATTTTTCACAATGGACAAAATTGAAGAAATCAGTTATTAAGTTGAAAATAGATCTAAGAACCACGTTGAAATATTTAGCGTTATATTTGGTATCTATATTTTGTTATTAAAAAATGGATTTTCAAATGAACTATACTTCATGCCTAGTATTTTCGCTTTTTCGTAATTAAACGTGACAACATCCCACATTTACGTCCGAATTCCTTCCGTAGACTCAGAACCGCTGGGCAAACAATACCTAAGCCACCTATAATCATCCATCGACTCAACCGTTTGCGTTGCAGTATTGCTTGATGCAGACGCGAATAAAGAGGCAAGGATATGTCGGAAACGAATCAACATTACTACGATCTAGCAAACTCAATTATTCAAAATTTTATATAATTTTCATGAAAGATCCACTCTTGCTTGAATGTTTCAAATTATTCGTTTTTCAGAACCGTTGGAAAGGTGGCTTGGCGGACGGTATGATTGGCAACAAAAACGATGGAAATGGGCAGCTTCTGGAAAACCCTTAAGCTACAAAGGTTTCGATAAATCGGTGAACCAGGAGGAAGAGATCTTACAATGGAACTGCATTATTATTGATCCACTTCTTCAACTCAAGTGAGTTTAACTTTTAAGGGCAATATCATTAACTGAAGCTCACTACATACATTTATAACGAAATAACGAACGGAAGATATAACTTTTTTCTGTTTACCAATAATCACATGCATGAACCCAAGCTCTCAAAATGTTGTTCAGGTTGAATATTGATGTTCTTGTAACTTTGACGGGCCGTGAAATCGAAACTCTCTTTGCATTAGCTAGCTATGATTTGACACTGACTTTGAATTTTGTGCAAAACGATTCTGTAAAAAGTACTCCTTTTTTTCAACGAGTGGACAAGAAACCAGGGCGGGAGGCGTAGCCGAGTCCCGCAAGTCTGCGAGTTTGAAAAAACTTCTTCCCAAGACGTATTAGGAAAACTACTTTTTCGGCAACTATAGGAAATAAGAAATATATTGTATTTTTGTATTCTGATTGTGATGAATTTCAATTGATGTTTTTCCCACTATACAGACTTGAAGGAGAACTTGTGTGTGCTGATTTCACCCATTATGAGAAGGCACTAGTCTGATAAGCGCCCTCTAAGCTCTTTCTCTATTCCGATCGAGTGAGAGCAAGGAAACATATGTAAAGGCAGAACATATCGTGATGTGGACAACTGTTTCCTGTCTATGTTATCTATGTACCACTCACAAGTAATCTGAGATCAGCGATTTTCAAATCACATAAACAAAGAGCATAAAAAACTATGGTAATTATTTATAACGGTGCGACCTCCGGAGAGATCCAATGTTATTATAATTTTTTTTTTCAATTTTCCTCACATTTAATGACATATGGTTTGCGAGACATACTGTTGGTCAAGTACAGGCCTCAGTGGCGTATCCAGGGGGGGGGGGGCAAAGGAGGCAATTGTCCCCCCCCCCAGAGCAACAACTTTTTTGCCTTTTATTTCTTAAAAATATCTCAAATAAGAAAAAAAAATTTTTTTTTTTATTGATAACCTATTTTACTTATTTAAAGTACTCCTCAGCGTGTTTAAATCCAACATTCAAAAACGCGCGTGTTTTAATACAGTTACCATGACAACATCAACAACCCAAGCAAGGTAAAGTCTAAATGTCAACTTTTTAATTATTGATTTGTCAGACAACGAAAGGTATACCAGGTGTCATATCACGAATTTAGCATTCTTCAATTATTAGTAATCTATGATTTGAACGTATAGGTACCAATAAAAAAAATAGTGTAAAGTATTCATGGATAACTGGTCTTTAAAACACGCGCGATTTTTCGAGCACGACGGCGCAGCCGGAGTGCTCGAAATAGAGCAAGTTAATATCCACTTATACTTTAATATACTATTCTATTCATGTGCGCAAAGTTATTATTTTGCACACTCATTTACGTGATCTTTGCTCACGAAAACTCTTTGCGCACTCATTTTTGTTTAGCATAATTACGGGATTTATACGAGATCAGTGATTTACACTCGATTTATCAATGTTTTGTGGGTTTCTGGATAAACTAATATTCAGAAAGAAGGGCTCGATGTTATTTTTGTTCCAAAAAACGCATTCAGGTACATAATCTTATTTAGCTGTTTTCATTTAACACTTTCCGTATGAGGAACGAGGGGAACCAAAAACGGGACAAAGCAGATGCTGCACTTGTTGCTATGTAAAATCATTGTATGATAAGGTAAAACTAATTTAAAAAGACACGTGAAAAAATATCATCCTTGTGAGTTTAGTCTCAAAATTTGGCAAGAAAAACAAAGGACCTCGCACACCTTATATAGGATTCCAGCGATCGGTCGATTTTTCCCAAATTTTGATATGTTTTAGAGGATTTAATCCTTAACAACCTTTAAATGGGACGAAATCTTGTAGGTATACGGTCTTTGAGATATGAGCGTTGAAAGATGAACTTTTTTGCGACTTTTTGTGTGGAGAGTATACGAAATACTAGTGTTTATCAGTCAAAATATTGACAGGTTCACATATTTGACGTCAGTTACAGATTAATTTCAACATAGGCTAAGGCCGGGACCACACTGGTGTTAATGGTGGAGCCAGTGTTACCCCGCCCTTAGCCCATGTTGACAAATGTTTAGTGACGTAAAATATGTGAACCTGTCAATATTTTGACTGATAAACACTAGTATTTCGTATACTCTCCACACAAAAAGTCGCAAAAAAGTTCATCTTTCAACGCTCATATCTCAAAGACCGTAATACCTACAAGATTTCGTCCCATTTAAAGGTTGTTAAGAAATAAATCCTCTACAACATATCAAAATTTGAAAAAAATCGACCGATCGCCAAAATCCCATATAAGGAGTGCGGGGTCCTTTTAAGTAAACCTCGCCAGCACAACTACTGTTGCAAATAAAGTCAAGCTTTCTCTGCAAATTTCACTCGTCCTACGGACTCGTAAAATTATAGAAAACACGCAATCGTGAAAAATTATCGGTAATTTTGAAGCTCTCGTGGTATTATCCCCGAAAACCTAGCGTTTGCGGTAATGAATTATTGTTTATATTTTTCACCATTTCGTGAAACAATAGCCAATGCCAAACCAATTGCAGGCTGCCCAACACCATGCTACGCTAGACCGCTAATCGGGCTACCACCTTGTCTTAATAGGTGAAAACGCACTTGCAATAACAGTTTCGCGAAAGTTCTTCAAATGCATATATCAAAGAAATCTTAGAAATAAATATAATAATCGACTCTGATGATAATGACAATCAGAGATTTTTTTAAATCAATAATCAGTTCTGAAAAAGCAGAATATTGCAGAGCTCTGCAATATTCGCAAGCCTCATTGACGGACCTGGAACAACGATGTGTCTACAAAATATCCTGATAGTTCATCTCTCCTAGTAGAAAGGATGATTTCACTTGCTCATTTATTGATATGCCATGAGGACATGCTTTTGCATATAATCATTTTGGAAATCTTGGCCTTATGAATGGCAATGCACCAATGCACCATGCACTTAATTGAAATTATATTTTTTTCACAGGTTTTTTACAACTTTTGAGTTTTGTAATGTATCCATATTATCATAGTTCTGGTTGACTCTTCTGGCTTAGGATTTGTTACCTATCTATTCTGTTCAGCTGTTTTTGGTTTACGAAAATTCTTTGACGCATACATTTTGAACCAAAATCCCGAAAAAATATCTCGCCATAAATGCCAGTATTTCCCTATAAACCTAGAACCTTTTTGAGGTGTAAATTTCGTAGAGGAAGTCGGACTTTTAACGCCTAAATTTAACGCTTTCGGAGAGGGGAATTTCAATAGGAAAGTTTATACCATCGTGCGTCGTGCGTACACTAACTTTTGTAACTTTATTTTTATCATCTTACTACCACCTGTTATTTCTTGATTCAAATATAAGATAACAACATAACAACTCATTTATCAAAAAAACTATATCTATTTTAGATGGAACTTCCGAAGTTGTTTAGAACAAAAACATTTCATTTGTCACAAGAAAATTCAGAGCATTACCAACAACAAGCCAAGAAAGAAACAAATGAAACAGAAACAGTATAACACGAAATATCTTAACGAGATTCCTATTCCTGACTTACCAAACGATATATCAGAAAATACGATCTCTCTTGAATCACAACAGAGGAAAACACCAGAATCCGACCCTTTCCATTTAAAAATTGATTCTTTTCCATTAGATGCTCAGCCGGCGTATAGACCGATTGAACGGAAAAATAGGAGACGAAGAAAAAACTGGCCAGTGCCAGCTTTGAAGCAATTTACTAATGGGACTGTATACGAAGACAAAACGACTTTACTAATTAGTAACCAGCCTCTTAGACGAAGAAGAAATAAAGGTAAATATTTTTCAACTATTTGTATTTAATTTTTCTCACGGTAAGTGAAAATTATGTAAACTTTGTTTCACGAGGGTTTATACTTTTGACATAATTTGCCTTCCTTTTTTAACAAATAGAAATTGACTGAAACAAATCAATGACGTTAAAAACGTTCCTCGGTTCTTAAACCAGAAGTAATTCATTTTAATTTGTCAAAAAAATTTAATGTGTCATATGAATTAATCTACGAAAACCCTTTTTTTTTCAAATTATGACGTCTTCGATGTCAAAAGTATAAATCCTCGTGAAACGAACTGCAGGTACCTATACCAGGTGCCCGATTAAGGTTGGTGAGATATCATGAAATCCATAAACCTGACGGCTGACGATTTTGAGAAAAAGTACTTATTCACCAAATCGGCCAAGGCAAATTGATGCAAAATATTTCCAACTTCCAGAATTTTCTGCTACGGGGAGCATCTACTATTACCAGAAATAAGAACTTCAATAAACTTTGCATCAGTTTGATTTATTAGACTCTGAACTATATCCTGGATAATAAAAGTAAAGAAAGGTGGTGAAAAAAAATTATGTTTAAAATGGCAGTATTTTCCATACATTTCATCGGAGCCTGATATTCTTAGGCTTGTGTGAAAGAAATTTATTTAACTAAATATTTATAAAACAACTTTGGTCGGGGTCGTTAATTTATACCGCGTCTTCGAGAGGGCGCTGTTTATCCAACATTGTTTTTTTCCAAATTTTCCTCAAAAAATCAAGCCATAATCACCTGGTGTAACGTTGTGCCAAACGCCCAAGCATTGGATTAACGGAATAAGTCTTCTCCATTCAACAACACCGATGATGGACTCATGCTGAAAGATTTTATCATAAACAAGGAAAAGAGGCTCCATCAGTTTGTATTAGCAAATTCGCTGGTGTTCATCCATGAACATCAAGAAGTATTGATTGAATGATTGATGATTCGGTTATGTATGTAGCCTTGAACTCAAGTTCATGCTTTTATGCTCCTGCCAAATTTTCTGCAGTCGGATGAGGGACTTATTTTCCGCACTTGAATAAATTTTATTTCGAACATCACAAAAATCACTACTATACTACTAGACTCAGCTGTTCACAAAGCCATATGATCATCATCAGATGCATTCACTCACTCACATAGACTGTGAGATAGAGACTGTTTTGTGGAGTCATTTTTTTTTTGTCTGGCTTTTTGAGGGTTAATGTGGCTAGTTAGCTGATGAGAGTATTGGTGATTTTAATGCCTGCTCCCTGTTAGAAAATTTGGTGACTAAAAAAATTGATTTACATGAAGATTTTTTTTTATTGATCCCAAATTTTCTGGCTTTTATTGAAAGATTGATATTGATAAATAATTCACCCATAAAAAATACCAGATGCTTCTCAATATGTGGGGATGAGTGTCAACTTCCAAGAGAAAAGAAAAGAACCTTCCAGGTTCACTTTTTGTCTGGCAATCGAGACAATAAAAGGTTTTGTTGTGAAAATAACGCTCAAAAATCGCCAGACGGTAATCACAGTTCGACATCGAGTTTTCCGGCGAAAGATTCTTTGGACATTTCGAACAGGGAGCAGGCATTAAAACCACTCATATTCTCATCATCTGACTAGCCACATTCAGCCCTCAAAATGCCAGACACTAAACAGACCCTCTCTCAGGGTCTAACAAGTTTCATAATATTCTTGACAGCATCATTGTCTGGGGATTCTCTGATGGCTAAATGAGCATACAGAACCCTCAACTTCTCAAACTTGATTTCACACCCAGTTAGGGGTATCCGGCGTTTTTGTTGGCCAGCTCGTACCACATGTTCTCGTTATTTTCTGCGATTTTCTTTCGCCTTTGTCGTTCGAACGACTGCAAATCTATACTTTATTTTTTCCCAAGATAGATTTTGACATTGTCAACTTTGAAACATAAACAATACCGCTTGGCCCTGATTTGTCGCAAAATGAGGTGTCCCTACAGGTTGACATCAGTTTTACAATGCAACTCCTGCAAATGGCATCTTTCAACCAATAAGCGGCATTGTTTATGTTTCAAAGTTGAGAATGTCAGATTCTATCTTGGGAAAAAATAAAGTGTAGATGGATACTCCGCCGTCGCCATGCTGATCTATCCAAGGCTGTAGCGTCTCTGTCTCCCACATCGATCTGACTTGCTTTCATATTTATCTTGAAAATTAAACCTTCTCCAGTTGGAGTTGGAAATACAATATTTGCTTAGTGAGTAGGTATGAGATGCGAACGACATGACCAGCCCAGCGAAGCTCATGTGGGATGAGGATTGCCTTTCAATCCACCTAATTCTCGAAAGTTCTAGTTGGCAACAAATACACAGCAATTTGTTATCAAGTATTCGTGACTTTTCTACACCATTTCAACCTCAATTTCGGAAAAAGTAACTTTTATTTTGGAAAAAGTCAAATTAGTTTCAGAAAAAGTAAAGTAAATTTTGGAAAAAGTAAATTCAAATTCGGAAATAGTAAATTCAAATTCGGAAAAAGTACATTTAATTACGCAGAAGGTAATGTTATTTTTTAGAATAATTTGAATTGAAAAAATAAATTTAGCAGTGACCTCGAGTCGAACCCGTACCCTGATGATGGGTTCGATTTTCGAGTCCAACCAAGACCTGTGTATTTTAATTAGGTTCTCTATATTATTTTGTAGGTCTGATGATGCTTGTATGAACGAAACGCATGTCACTTTAAGTGAATAAAATAGTGAAGAAACTGTTTTTGTTTCTTTCTTTTGTTGTTTAAAAATCGGATCTCCTTTAGAAATATGGACAAATTTCGATTTTCTACATAGATAAATGACTCGAATCAATTCAATTATTCTACATGGGCTCGAAGGTTGGGTTCAAGGGTCATCTCTATTATATCGATTCCTAGGGGGGTTGAGACTTTCTATGTGGGTGTTATATGCTTGGGTATCTTGTATTTGACAGACAAGTTTATTTTAATTGATGTGGTGAGTTGGTCGAAATAAAAATGCCCAACATTCTCGTTTTATTTTCAAACCATCCTACCAGAATCTGGCAAACTATTGAAAGAAAAATGGTGATAGACGAGGTGCCGTTGATAATTTTTCTCATATCGAATGTCGGTGTGCACCTTTCTCACTTGGTATTTTAGCCCCTTACCACTACTGACGACGATCTTTTAACCAGATTGAAATTTTCCTCCCAAATTTTAAGTTTATGTCGTCAAGGTTATGTGGCTTCTCCAAGCATGCCTATCAACTCAAGTAACGAATCAACAACTAACTATATCGGGTGCACAGCGGCCTTGTCTAATTCAAGAAATTCAGCTAATGCTACCAATAATTCACTAGACACTCAGCTATAAAAACCACTATCCAACACAAACGTTTATTTTGAGCAATATATCACTCAGAAACCAGAACAACTAGTAATTCTAATTGATCGAACAAAGTCCAAACGAAAAAGAAGTCATATGTCCACGATCAAAAGACCGATAAACGAATACATACTAAGTACTAAGTATTTGTGATAATTCTAAGAAGTACATTTGCCATCAATGGTCTATTGAAATTTATACCCGGAAGGTAAGTTGAACATTTCCGGACGACCGTAGAGATTGCCAACTGGCAATACGGAGTCCGGAAATCTGTTTTTTTGTACAAGATAAACATACTATTTGTTATTTTACTTTTTGATTTTTTTCTGCACTTTTGTTCCAATAAAAATATGTATATCACCGAGTCATGGTGACTCATCAATAGTAGTTACGAAATTGATCACTGTTGGTAGAAATAGGATTTGTGTGCATTAACGACCTCAAAAAAGTTTGTTTCTTCATGGTTATATTATATTGTCAATAAGAACTAGAAAAAGATGATTCTATTTCTTAGCGTTTATCAGAGTCTTCAAAAACACCTCTGCTGCCAGTCCGCATGACTCGTGGGTGCAGAAGAAGGCCCAATCAGTTTCTAGTAGATCCAGCGACAACCGTTACTCTGAAAATCTGCAGTTCCTTGTGTTATTGCAGGCCTTGGGTGCCTCAAGAACCACCAATTACTACCGTACTTTCCGAAAGTAACTTTCGCTATGCTCTGCAGCCTCCCGATAGTGTAACTTACGCCTGTCTATCTTAAGTTCTTTTTTTTATTAATAAGTGGTTTATATCCGAACTTGTTCTCGTCTCTACTTATTTTTGACGGACGTTACGTGATCACTTATCTTTTTTCATGTGTCAAATCACGTGGCATCTGTCAAATTTTGCTCATTTGGCTCACAGATGCAATTACCGAACCCAGCCACAGTTACCTACTTCAGTTCGATGAGCCTTTTTGGAACTTTTGATATGTGTTTTTATTTAATTTTCAATAACTTTTATCAAATCCTCCTTCTCGATGATTATATGCCAGAATATTGCCATATTTAAATAGGTATCAATTATATTATTACCTAACCTTCTTTTTCCATTAAAATGTGCAAATCACGATCATGTATTTGAGGAAAGATTACAGGGCCGTATCTAGGGGGGCGTTTTGGGGGTTCAAACCCCCCTCCCCCCAAAAAAAAATAATAAAATTCAAAAAATTTAACTCAAAAACAAACAACACTTATTAAATACTTATTGTTTTTTTTTTTTTAATTACTAGTGTAACAATTTTTTTTTGCCACTTTGTCCATTTTGGTCTAGATACGGCCCTGAAAAATTACGTTTATTACGTATATATATATTTTGGTTTATGAAGTGAGATTTGCACGTTGGTCATTACCTGAAAAAACTTTCAAACAATTTTCATTGCCAACGAAAGCTCAGACCAATCAGTGTAGTTCAATGCCGGTAGGGGTATTTGCCCTCGGAGTAGTTGTTTCTGATTGGTCAACGAAGTTCACGGGAATGCGGGGTCCACTACTCAGTGGGTCGATTCCCAAACACATTCAGTCATCCATAGCTGCGATATAAATTAGCAAAGTATAGACTAATAATGAAAGTTTA